TATTTCATTGAGTTGATCTTCAATCTCTAATATCCTTTCTTTTGCTTGATCGATTTGGCTATTGAAACTTGTGTATGCTTCATGAAGTTCTCATGCTGTGTTTCTCAGCTCCATCAAGTCGTTTATGTTCTTCGTTAAGCTGGTTATTCTTGTTAACATTTCATCGAACGTTTTTTCAAGGTTCTTAGTTTCTTTGCATTGGTTTAGAATATGTTCCTTTAGCTCAGAGAAGTTTTTTATTACCCAGCTTCTGAAGCCTGCCTCTATCAATTCATCAAGCTCATTCTCCATCAAGTTTTGTTCCCTTACTTGTGAGGAGTCGTAATCCCTTGGAGGAGGAGAGGTGTTCTGGTGTTTGGTGATTTCATCCTTTTAGTGTTAGTTTCTTTCCATCTTTGTGGATTTATCTACCTATGGTCTTTGAAGTTGGTGATTTTTGGAAGTGGCCTCTGAGTGGACATCCTTTCTGTTGATGTTGAAGCTATTTCTGTTTTTTAGTTTTCTTTCTAGCAGTCAGGTCCCTCTGCTGCAGGACTGCTGGAGGCCCACTCCAGACCCTGCTTGCCTGGGAATCACCTTCAGGGGCTGCAGAACAGAAAAAACTGCTGTCTGTTCCTTCCTCTGGTAGCTTCATCCCAGAAGGGTACTCATCAGATGTCAGCCAGAGCTCTCCTTTATGAGGTGTCTCTTCAGATATATGGGGATCAGGGAGCTACTTGAAGAGGCAGTCTGTCCCTTATCAGAGCTCAAATGCTGTGCTGGGAGATCCATTGCTCCCTTCAGAGCTTTTGGGCAGGGACATTTAAGTCTGCTGTGGCAGAACTCACAACCACCCCTTTTCCCAGGTGTTCTCTCCAGGGAAGGTGAGGCTTTATTTATAAGTCCTTGAAGTCCCGCTGCCTTTTTTCAGAGATTTCCTGCCAAGCAAGGAGGGAATCTAATCACAGTCTGCCTGCAGAGGCATTGCTGAGCTGCTGTGGACTCCACCCAGCTGCTGTGATTAAGTTTCCTTGAGGTTTTGTTTACACAGGTTAGGTTAGAACTGCCTTGGTAATGGCAGACTGCCTCAATAATGGCAGACACCCTTATGCCCACTGAGCTCAACTGTCCTAGGTTGAGCTCATACTGCTGTGCTGGCTGTTTCAGTTTGCTGGTCTTTGTGGGGGTGTGAACCACTGAGCCAGATCACTTGGCTCCCTGCCTTCAGCCCCCTTTTTTCAGGGGAATGGGTGGCTCTGTCTTGCAGGCATTCCAGGCACCAGTTAAAATGGCTGACCAAATTGGTGCTGGAAACCCAAGATGCCTGCTAAAACAGACCCAGGTTTGTGCTGGAAACTCACAGGTTTGCCAGCCCAGCAGGAATCTCCTGGTCTGTGGACTGTGAGAGACTATGGGAGAAGTGTAATATCTGAACCAGAGTGCTGGAGTGGCTGGAAAAGTCTCCAATGGCCTCCGTTGCGAAGGAGGGGCATCCTGCAGCCCATTGCACTTCCTGGATGAGGCAGCAGCACACCCTACCTCGGTTTGCCCTCCTTGGGTTACACTCACTGTCCAACCAATCCCACTGAGATGAACCTGGTACCTCGGTTGGAAATGCAAAGATCACTTACTTTCTGCATTGCTCTGAGAACTGCACTTTGGAGCTGTTCCTATTCAGCCATCTTGGCGGAAGTCCCCCATAGCTTCTAAATAATGTATTTTCGTTTTAACTAGTATGCTTTTCAAGGGTTTGTTCCAAATATTTGATTTACATATAATGTTATGGGAACTTATTTATAATATAAAAAATGAGGGAAAAACTGAGTGCTAATATTACCATTTCTTGAAAATGATAAAATTTACATGATAAAATAGGATTTAGGAGAAAAAAATATTTTAATATTAAAGTAAATTGAAAAGATAAAATGTATATATAATTGACAGAGAAGAGTAAATATTTGATATCATCTTAAATTTATATATAGGTTTTTATTTCGTACAGAGGTCTCTCACAAACAATATTAATAAGAAAAATTACAAATGATAACATTAAGTAGTGCTAAAAAGTAGAATACAATGTGAATGATGTCCCAAAGATTGTGCAACGAGTCATCCCAGATGACTGTAAAACACTAAGTACAGCACATATATTTAATTTGATTAAGTAATTCAAACACTGGAAAGCAGGTAATTTTATTATCCTCATTTTATAGCTGAGCAATATGAGGGATAGAAAGCTTAAGTAATTTATATTATTTTCTACAACTCATAAGTGCTATGGCTAAATGTTTTTGTCCTCTCCAAAATTCATGTTAAAATTTAAACATCAAAGTAACAGTATGGAAAGATGTGTCCTCTGGGAAGTGGAGGAGTCATGAAGATAAAGCCCTCATACAGGAGATTCAGTGTCCTTATAAAACGGCTTGGCCAAGGTAGTTTCTCCCTTTGTGCCCTTCCATCTACTCCCATGTGAAGACATGGGCTTCCTCCCCTCCAGAGGATGCAGCATTTAACATGCCATCTTGGATGTAGAGACAGGACCCTCCCTCATCAGACAACTAAACTTGCCAGTACCTTAGTCTTTGACATCCTCCAGAACTACAAGAAAATTAACTTTAATTCCATATAAGTTACTCAGCCTCAGGTATTCTGTTCTAGCAGCCCATAGAGATTAAGACTGTAGTGAAAGAGCTAGGCTCTAGTCATATCAATAATAATTCAAACTCAGCTGTTATATTATACTGCTTTCATAAGCCCAAAGCATTAATTTCTCTTATCAAACTACTAATTCAATTTAAAAACGTATACATATTATAAAACCAAATTGAATAGCAAAGCAATCAGAAGTCTTACAATCCTTTAAATTCTTTTTTTTTTTTTTTGAGACGGAGTCTTGCTCTGTCACCCAGGCTGGAGTGCCAGTCTGCAGTCTCAGCTCACTGCAACCTCCGCCTACCAGGTTCAAGCAATTCTTCCACCTCAGCCTCCCAAGTAGCTGGGATTACAGGCATGTGCCATCACACCCAGCTAATTTTTTTTATTTTTAGTAGAGATGGGGTTTCACCGTGTTGGCCAGAATGGTCTCGATATCTTGACCTCATGGTCCGCCCGCCTTGGCCTCCCACAGTGCTGGGAAAATCCTTTAAATTCTTCCCTTTCACGTATTGCTATTGACATACTCAATAGGCAGACATGAATAAATTTATACCCCTAATTTTGAAACATAAGAGTTAATTAGGGTATGTTGGCTGTAAATATAATAATCTCATTATAATAGGTAAGCCTTTAAATTCATGTTCTGTAGGCAGTGGAACAGAAAACAAGATGTAAGACCACTAAATTATATATATATGTATATGCACACACACATATATCTCCATCCTTTTTTCTGTTGTGTGAAACAGTGGCTTTTACTAAATACAGCTTGAGAAGCCTTATTTCTCTCAGAATGTATTTGAAGCTAATCCATTCTTTTCGGCTTTAGAATTGTAAATAGGGTCTATCAATTGAATGAATGTAACATAACTGTCATTGCTGAGCCAGCACATAACCAAAAATATGATTCCTGTGCATCATGCTTAAGAGAAATATATCTTTGTTGCTGGCCTGCTAATAGATAGCAGTAATAGATATGCAGTAATAGTGCCATTAAAGGAATCTGGGGTCTAGAAATGATTCAAATGCTATTCATTTTGTTTTATAGTTTTGAAGTGAAAAGTGAATACTGGAGGTGAAAGTAGTACAATCACTTAGCTTAGAAACATGAAGGCAAATATTAAAGGATATTTTGCAAAGACTGCACAAAGAAGTACAATATTTACAACTAAGTGTATATTCTATTCAAATACTAGAGCCATTTTTTTAAAGATTATAGCTATGGGTCCATGTTTATAGATAATATACAAACAATAAATATGGATGATTTCCCCAAAATAGTAGATAATATAGTGTGAAAAATCTAATAAATAGGTAAACAGTCACCAATGTGAGTTTTTTTTATGTAGGATATAGCACTCTCTGGATGTAGTAGGTGATAATTAAGCATATGAGATAAAATTTTTGTAAGCATGACATACTGGGACAAAAGGTTAGCCATCACCTTCAATATTGTATGGCAGTGATACCTTAGCTAGCTATCACTCAGTACCTGTTCTTTTATTGTTTTTCTAGCTCTTTGTGTAGCGTATGGTTGCTTAGAATAAGAAGTACCTATTCCAATCTCCTCTGCAGCTAGGTACAACCAGGATAATATAAATACACAATATACAAAGCCTTGCATTTTACAGATGACTAATATGTTGGCTTTCTGTTAGAATCTATAATTTACGATTCCCAGTTTGATATTGTTGCTGTTCTTTTTTCCCCCAGTCTTCTGGGTTCTTAAATAAACTTGGAGCTCATGTATGGGTAGGTGAAAGGGGAACAAGTGTCAATGCATTGAACCAGAAAAGTATCTGAAATGATCAGGAAACAATATAGAAGTCAGTGGGATTGGAGCAGAATGAGGTAGGAGAGAGTGACATAAAACTGAGACTCAAAAACTCAACAGGCCCTTTAAGACCATTGTTAAGAATTAATATATTTCATCCTGAGATAAAAAGCTACGACTGGAGAGCTCCAAGTAAAGGAATGAACTGTTCACAATTACTTTCTTTTTTGTTTGTTTTTAACACAGAATATGATATATTTGAGAAGGATAATAGAATTTCCAATTATCTGACCATTTTACTATTTTTTTAATTTTTAGCTTGGGTGAAATACACACATGACATAAATATTACCATCTTAACCTTTTTAAGTGTGTAATTCAAGAATATTAAATATACCTGCATTGTTGTTTAACGAATCTCCGGAACATTTTCATCCTACAAAATCAAACCTTTCTAATCCACTCCCCTGCCTCTCTTCTCCCAGCTCACCATTATATCTTCCATTTCTGTTAGTTGACTACACTAGATACCTCACATAAGTGGACTTACATAGCCGAAAGAAAATAATACATACTCTTCCATGTAAAATTAACTCTGATATATTAAACTTTATTCAGTTCACTGTATTTTATTTTAAGAAGAATTAGAAACAATTTGTTGACCTACAAATGGATATCCTCTTATAAAAAATACTGTTTAGTCTTTGGGAGCAAGCAGTTCAGCATGGTATTTAAGATGACCAACTCTGGATGCAGACTGCCAGTCTTTGAATTTGAGCTTCTTCACTTCCAAACTGTGTGTCCTTCTGCAAGTTATTTAAACTTGCTATGCATCCCATTCCTCATCTGAAAGCAGACATAATAATAGTACTTACTCAGAGAGTTTTAATTAACACATGAAATCATTTAGAAGAGCATTTGTTACATAGTAAAAGCATATGTAGTGGTTATTTTCCCATTATTTTTATTAATAAGGAACATTATGCTTTACTTTAAGGGAAGAGTTCAGAAATTTAAATGCTGGTAAAGGAAATACAATGATCATAAAACATGAGAAGTGTAATGTGTATATGATAATAAGATGCTAGTATTGTGACCTTAATTAAACTGCATTCTAAAATACTGGGCTAAGCCAAACAACATGGCAAAGCAAAATATGTCTAGGAGTCATTATTACCAGCAGTTATCAATTGATTATTCTTGGTGTGAACCATAATCATTAATTTAGGACAGCAAATAAACCAAGCTAACAAATGTAGTGCTAAGCCTTGGATATCAGAATTTTAAATCCTATTAATTAAACATTTATGACATATCCACATTAAAATTAATATTATTGTTTGAAATCTCATTATTAAAATGTAAAACAAATCAGCAATGGCATGTGTGTGTATATAACTATATATAATAAAAAAATTAACCTACACACACATACATATACACAGTGCACACACACATGTAGTTGAACATCTGTAATCATCCTTCCATATCTTTGGGTTCCACATCCATGGATTCAACAAACACGGATCAAAATATTTTTTAAAAAAATGAATGGTTGGGATGGTTGCATCTGTAATGACCATGTACAGATTTTTCTCTTGTCATTATTTCCTAAATAATATAGTATAAGAACTGTTTACTTCACATTTAAATTACATTAGGTATTATAAGTAACCTAGAGATAATTTAAAGTATACAGAAGGATGCGCATGGGATATATGCAAATTCTATGCCATTTTCTATAAGGGACTTGAGCATCTACAGATTTTAGTATCTAGGGGGCTCCTGAATCCAATGGCCTGTGAATACCAAGAGATGATTTGGTATTGTTTTATATATATGTATGTATATATAGATATGTTTTTACACACATGCATATAAAACATCACATAAACACCCACACATATATAAAACAATCTTTGCAGTTGCATTAATTTATAAAGTGATCAACAGTGCTCCTTTTCTTCAAAAGATTGATAATAATCTACTACATTTCCTAATTTAAAAAAAGATTAGTACTTGATAGGAATTCTTAATATCTAATTAACTGATATATTTTAGGTATAAAATTTTTATCTTGTCACACTGTTTTGTACTCAAGAGACAGCTGATACATTAGAAGCTTTCCAGAACAGTGTTAATGAATAGACAATTCTATTAAAATTCTTTGAGCTTCAATTTGGCAGACAAACTTACACTTTTAGAATTAATTTAGTAACAAAATGATTTTAACTTGCTTTCACTATAACTGTCATTCAATTTCTATTTGCTAAAAGTGTCTTGCATTTTATAATGACTCTTTTCTGTTTCTTATGCAAAAGTTATAGCAATTTTAACAATAATAAAAACTAATTTTGTAACATTTTATATTACTATAGTTCAGCAACTTTGGTATTTATTTGGAGTAAGGCAGAGGCTAGTAAATAATATTGAAAAGAAAAGTAATGAGAGTTGTGATTATCTTTCCTTATGCCAACTTGTTTAAACTACAGTCCCAAGTCATTTATTCAAACGTTAATCTATTCAAGGAGGTAAAGATATTTTTTTGAGGGGATGAAAGAACATAATCAATTCACTCTACCCAAGGGAGATTATCCCAGATAAGCAATTCTAGATAATCCAAGTGGGCCTGATTCGATTAGTTGAAAGGCTTTAAGAACACAGCCTAGGCTTCCTGACGAAGTTATTCTCACCATGAATGATAACAGTTTAAGATTACCACCCTGCTCTTCCTAATGGCTTGCTTTATATATTTCAGACCCGCTTACCCAGACTGCATAATCACATGAATCAATTCCTTGAAATAAATCCCTTAATATGTATATGTATCTTGATTCTTCATCCCTGGTTGTGCCTTAACTAACGAAGAGTTAGTTGTTCATTGCCTTATCAGACATGAAGGCATATTTTGAAGTTAAAATTATCAAACCGTTGTGATACCAGTATACAGATCAACAAATGGATCAATGGAAGATGGTAAATTATATGTCATAAAAAGTGGAGTTCTAACTCAGCGAAACTTGTAAGGAAATACAACAAAATTCTGACTATTTTCTATAGGTTGACGGTATTAAAAGACACTGTAAAATAATGCAGTTGTATAAAAAGAAAAGAAAAAAATGGCAATAGGAAAAAATCTCAATTTTACTATTAAAAATTTAGTATTAGAAAACTTTATTCACAGAAATTCATATAGAAAACAAACTGTGAATAATAAAGTTCATCTGTGCTTTTCTACTGTCAAAACCCACCACCTCTCAAGTGGATCCTGAGGAGACAGTGGGTGATGAAATCTAATCTTCATCAAGGATGTTGGACAGTCAATAAAAAGCAGCTGTAGGTTAATAAAGCTGTGTTGCCTGTCCTTCTCTACATCTTCACTTTAATTAGGTTAATAAAGCTGTGTTGCCTGTCCTTCTCTACATCTTCACTTTAATTAGGTTAATAAAGCTGTGCTGCCTGTCCTTCTCTACATCTTCACTTTAATTAGATATATACAGTTTGCCTTTATAAAAATATACACAAGTGTTTTTTCCTATATTTTTCTTGATGAAAAGTGATGAGATTTTCATTTGACTTCTTTTCCATTATTCTTTTACTTTAAGATGTATACTCATCTTGTATTGAGCTCAGATCTCTGAACTCTTTCATTTAATAAACAAACCTTCCACTTATTTTAGTTGACTAAATCTAACTATTTTAATCTTTTCTTGACAGTGATTTTATAAATAATAATTTTTTATTGGAGAAAATAATAATCTGGACTAGAAGAAGTGCCAATGAGATTATTCTTGAAAACTATCAAGTCAGTTACCTAACTTGCTAAGTGCTGCCCAAATATTAGTAATTTAATAATACTACAGAAATATTGTGTTGTCCACCTTTATAAAAAATTATTCCAAATAATTATGTCATTTGTTTTCATTTGAAGAATACATAGTTCAGACAGTTAAGTTAATGACTAAACTCACGGAAGTTGACAATTAATAATGAGCAGTGTAATAATGTAAGATTAATTTTTCAAATATTTTAAAGTTTCTGTTAAATATTTACAAATTATACATCAAGTGGGTCTTAAGATGGCCAACTCAATGCAGCTGGGAAGTGCTGCTCCCATGGAGAGAGTCCGAGCTTTTGACTAAATTAACATAATTTGAGAAGATCTTTGTTTTAAAAAAAAAAAAGATGCCTAACGTTGATATAGAAAAGATGCAAACACTGAAGATGAAGAGGGAGGAAGAGGGAAACTCCATGTGGGGTAACTGAATGCTAGGGCTGGTTCCAGGCCTCAAAGTGTGTCTGAGGAAGGGGTAAATGAAGGGACTTGGAGACTGGGGACCTCATACCTGCCATGGACATTTGAGCTGGTAGGTGGCTGTCCCCAGAGATTAGACAGAGACAGAGCTGACATAAGCATGTCCCCAGGAAATTTTATGATAGGGACAGGTTTGGTGGAGCCTTACCCACCAAGGGCTCCCTATCTCCCTTTGACAGGCTCTGGCCCTAGCTAACCACTGGAGAGAAAGCAGGGCCACCTTTCCTGTGGACCTGGGGCACATTTGTCCCACAGGCCACCTGCCTGCCAGCCCCTCTCAGGGCTCCTGCCTGACCATCCTACAGAAGCCTGTACACACATAGCTCCATTGCCCAGTCTGAATGCTTCCCATCACCTAAGTGCATTCTGGAAACCTGGGAGCCCTTCAAATCCTATAGTGTACCTGGGACCCAGTCCCAAGTGTCTGAAGGAGAAATCTGCAAGCAGGTCCTGGCACCCCAGAGCTGTGGACCATGGCTCAGGATTACATAGCCAGGATCTGTGACCTGCATTGAAGTCAGGGAGGAAGCAACACTCTTCAAAAACTGAGAAGCATAAATTGGCCTAAGACCTAGATGTGCCTCCCTCCACAGAATAGGTCCAGTAAAGATGTGGCCTATTTCCCTATTGGGCCTCTGTCCACGGGACCTGAGGCAGAAACATCAATAGAAATAAATAGATAAATGGAATTGCTGGCAAAGTGCCAGTGATCAGAGGTGGCTCCTGCAATTTCCAGGAGTGAGCTTGGTGAGGGAGTCACCTCTCTCCCCTTGCACTGCAGAATATAGCCACAAATCCAAGGATATACAAAGGAGCCATGCTTCTAAATGACAGCCTATCTACCATCCATTGCTCTCAAGCACTATTTACAGGATTATGGCCCAAACTACAGCAATAACAAAAAGTCACTCTCCTAATGCTCCCTGCTGATAAATCAAGGGCAAGAATTCAACAACAAAGACCCTGTACCAAGCCTTGGCCCTGTGAAAACTTCCAGAAACAAAGCCAACTGTGTATACTAGATTTCCATCACAGTTAAAAGATCACCACCCTTCCCAGATGGGAGAAAAATCAGTATAAGAACTCGGACAATTCAAAAAGCCAGAGTGCCCTCTTACCTCCAAAGAGGTCCACTAGGTCCCCAGCAATGGCTAATCAATCTGAAATGTCTGAAATGACAGACATGGAATTCAGAATCTGAATGGCTAGGAAGCTTATCAAGACCAGAAGAAAGTTGAAACTCAATCCAAGGAAGCAAAGCAATTCAGTAAAATGATTCGAGTTGAAAGACTAAGAAGCTGTTTTAAGACCCAAGTTGAACTTCTTCAGCTGAAAAATTCACTACAAGAATTTCAAAATACAGTCAGAAGTATTAACAGCAGAATAGACCAAGCAGAGAAAAGAATCTCAGCACTTAAAGACAGGTAATTGAGTCAACTCAGTCAGACAAAAATAAAGAGAAATCAATTTTTAAGAAATGAACAAAACCTCTGAGAAATATGCAATTATGCAAAGAGACCAAATCTGTGAC